TTTATACACGTACTTGATGATTCATTCAACCATTTCCTATCTTGCCATTCCCTGGTATTTAAACACATTTTGCGACAAAAAAGGCAATAAATCAATAAAAAAGTTGATGAAATGAAATAAAGGAAAAGTCGTCATATCCAGATTTATGGTATTTTTCTTGAATATTAAGTGCCTATGTACCTAAACCAGTTGATCATTGGTATCTGCGATATATACATGTAGGTCTAAATAAGTAGGTCAAAATACACTCGTCATTGTCTTGGATTGAGATTTCCCAGACTTTTAACTGTAAGTTTCTCTTAAAATTATTTCTTAGAAGATTTTAATTATGACTTTAAAAACATATTCGTAAAAGATTTACAATATAGGTATAATTATAAGATAAGCATTATACATTTGTGAAATACTACATGATGTATAGGTTTGTACATTACATGTACATTATATGTAGTACATGTATATTTTAAAAGTCTTTTACATTGCTATGCTCCACACTGAGTGAACATTAATTGATTTTAATTACCCATAATTGTTATACACAGTGGGAGCATATAATACATGAAGCATGGGTTTAACAATCTTAGCTCATTAACTAGTATATAGTGATAAGTTTAAAATTGGATGTAAATTTTTAGTGAAATTTTAGCTCCCCACTCCCTCCTGACCCCCTGTTTTGACAGAGTATAACTTTTAAAACTCTTTACAGTGAGTATCTAGTGCTCAAGCAGGCTTTGAAAACTTTGAATAATGCTATAGTTAAACATGTTAAATTATTTCACTCATCATGCTGATCCAATATACTGAGTGTCTATAGTCCACTATATAATAGTTGATAGGAAAGACAAAGGTTATATGTGCATGTATATTAATCAAATCTATACTTGCAAGTGGTAATCAAGAAGATTACTTTTATCTCTTCATATATGTTGGAAATATGTTAGGAACCTTAACACTTTTATATTGTACCTAACCAAAATCGGATCCTTCATTCTTTGTAAAGAATTCTACTTTTAAGGTGTTTGATGCATTTCAATTTTGACATATTAAATTAATATAGAACTATCCTATTTTGCTTTTAAATTGGTGAAATTGGTGAAGGATTGCAAACGTAGAGGATATTCAAATAAAGGTAATGTACATGACTTGTCTTGACATCTGATAAGTACGTAAATGCTCAAAAGCTTTAATCAGGTCACAGTCACCTGTAAAAATTAATATAGATCACATGCAGCATTCCAAGTAGGACTGAGAGTATGCAACCCTGGATGCAATTATTGGAGGACTGAAACCACTTTTAATTAGAATTAATGGACATACTCCAAAAACCTAAATGGTAATCATCTAATGATTTCTTGGGAATGGACCTCCAGTAAAATATCTTCATGAACATTCATGTATGTACATATATGCTTCTTTGTACAATCAATCAGTCGGAAAAGAGAGCTCACATATAGAGAATGTTCATGTATGTTTGCTTCTTTGTATGAGTATTCAGTCGGAAAAGAGAGGTCATAATGCAAATTTGATTGATACAGGAATAATTTGAATTAACCTGCAATAGGGATGTACCCGATCATTTTGGAAAATAAGAGTCACTTTCAACATCTTTTTTTTAAAACTGCAGATTATTTTTTTAATTTACTTGCAGTAAACATGGTAAAATGCACAATATTGTTGGTTAACTTTATAAGTGCATTGCTATCTGTACATCCCTGCATTAAAAAAGTAAAGTTATTTATGGGTCTTAAATTGTCAGGGAATGGCTTTTTAAAATGTTTGTATTAGTCAGTATCAGCTTGTACATGTACGCATTTTCATTTTTTTCTTCCTTTTCAAAAGCAGCACAGAAGGTCAGCATGTACTGTACACTCACAGCTGTTTATTTTCACTTGAATTGTACTCATTACCATGATTGCATGGTTAAAACAGTACAGAACAGAAATACCAAAAAAATGAAGCACTTTAGCTAGGCTTTACGTAGTATTTCTATCAGTGAACATCAACATCAAGTGAATTATGTGCTTAAATACTGTACAGTTCGACAGTCAGTGGTACATGGGTATGAAATATATGCTGTATGGCCAGACAGGTTGAAAAGTTGGTGGTTCAAATCCCATTCACGTATATTGTCTCAAACTAAATCTAAATGATACTTAGATTTAGCACTTATGTATAGCGAGATTAGCAGAGTAAGTCGTACCAGTGTATAATTTGTGAGTAAGGAACAAACTTCATTAAAGGAAAGGAAGTATTTCCATATAAAGGAATACATGATTAATTAGCTATTAATTTGAAGTGTTTTTATACTGCATGTAGTGCGATTTGAAGGAAAAAGTGCTTGATCATTCACTTAGGGTGAGTAACTTAACACGTGTCTAGCATAGGCGAGAGCAAAAAAGCTTGTACCCATATTGGGGGGGAAAAAAACAGAGCACAATTATTCTTCACTCAACTTAATGACATCTTGAGGTACTAGAGAAACCTGTTTTAGGCTAAATGATGCACTTTTGTGGTTGTGACTAATGATTTAAATGACTGTAGACGCAATGGTAAGAGAGAGATGATGTAAAGTGAGTTTCCTGAAATGTAGGACATATTTGATAACGCTTGATAATATGAATGCAGCTGTGAAACGATATTTATATGGCATTGATTTGAGTGACACATTTTTATAAGTAGAGTGTATTTTCAGTGTTTTGATATAATTTTTTTTTTTGGTACTTGGTGGGTACTAGCACTGTTGACTAGCACCATTAAAACACACTGAAGTTAATCGGAAAAATCACTTAAGAATAGATGGATTTATAATGATTATGATTGCATGAAAGAAAAATACATGTAACAAATAAGAATTACACATAGCTTTGAAAGTAAGCATTTGCTTCTACATAGAATTAAATATTTGCAATGTACATGATGTAAACTAGGAAATCTATGTAAAACAATAAATTTAAACCTCAACAAAAAATGAAAAATTTTCAATTGTTATCATGGTTATACATTTAGAAATTGTTTCCTATATAAATCTATACTTAAAAAAAGTCTATAAACATTTCCAATGTTTCATTGAGTGGGATATTGAACCTGTTGATGAGATACTGGACCGCTTACATCACACTGTGGGCAGGATCAGCTATACATGTATCTTATTTGCATTTGCTGGAATTAGACAGAACTTGACTGAGTTTAAACCGCAGTGCGGGTAAAGGAAAATTACATCATGAAAGCCAGCACAAGATATGTCAAATAAAAAGTAAAGGTATAACAAAACATTTATTGAAAGTGTTCTTGGGCAAAATGTGTTTTGTCAACCCCTCGAACCAAACTGTTTGCCTTTGGCCTAACGGCCTCAAGCAAACAGTTTGATTCTTAGGCCCAAGGTAACATGTTGCCCTCGAACTCGGTAAATAAATGTATATTGTAAACTTGAAACTGATGGTCCTCAGAGCCCTTAGTAGACTTGATTCAATACTTTGCTGTAAAATTAAGGCTCTCAGCATGATCAACAGGGAACATTCATATTTTTTGTAATTTCTCCTGCATCCTTTGTATATATAAATCTGTTTTTGAACAAAATGGCAAATAGAAAAGTGATAATGTCTACATGTTCTAGTGTCATATTCCAAAAATTCATTGAATATCTTTTCTAATACATGTAGTCCATTTATAGAATTGCTGTACATCAGACATAGTAAGGTATAATATAAAAAGAATTAATTTGAACCAGGAATTGTATGCTTGAAAAATTCTACAAAATAGAATTAATGTCATTTTCAAATTATAAATGTTATAAAACAAGAATTATCAGGCCAAATTGAAATGAAATATGAAGATAACGAACAGTAATCAAGCTCAGAAGTCCATTAAAACAATACAAATTGTGAGGAGAGCAAACACGGACCTCTAAAAACATCAGAAATGGGATCAGGTGCCATGGAGGAGTAAGCATCCCCAGTCGACCGGTCACAGCCACCGTGTGCTCTTAAGAAAATAATGGCCTAACAATTTGTATGAGAGATATCTGTCAACGTTCGACCTAGGAAACTAAGGATTGGTAGACAACATTGATAATTTAACTGTAAACCAGAACATTATATTATTAATAAGCATGGAGTTATCAAGTGTACCGTAAAATAGTGATACTGTGGTACTATACCAGGGATTGTTAGGCATGGTATTAGTAAAATAACTGTAAAACTATAGAAATTGTTAGGTATAGTACTGAAAATTAGGAACTGAAACATAGTATAACTGTAAACCGCACATTGTCCATGTTGTTACAGTGAAGGCACTGCAACATGGTTTACAGAGATTGTCCTATTTTTTGCATGTTTTTGGTAAACTAAATATAAATTCATTGGTTTGGGTAAACCAAAATATATTCAGTTACATGTACTAAGTACACAAAGATACACAAATGAGGTGACAGGGACCTGACAGAGCAATTGTTATAACAGTGATCCATTGCTTCTCAGTGTGAGCCCTAATTCTGATGTATTGGAGACATATACTTTGTACTTTTCATAATGACTTCTGACACTGTGAAATGTTTGTGCCATTCAAGGGGGGCCAATTTAATGATTCATCAAAGCTATATATTTGCACTCTAGACCTGGGTGTGTAGTGCAGTATTCTGTGGTAACCATTTCTCACTTGAAGTACCTCTTTTCTCAGACTGATAATGTGTTTGGGCTAGGTTTTCTTGGTCAAGGATTGTAAATTTAATAACCCCTGAACAGTTGGGAGTGGGAGATGGAAATGAGAACATTGCACAGACATATATTGTTTTGAAATGTTATCTTTTATTTTTGTTTTACTTCATTCCTCAATTCATCTTTATGTTGATATGGCATAGCTGACATCTTGCATGCTTGTAGATCATGAAGGATACATTCTGTGTTTCTTTTTCATCCTTGTATTTATGAAAAAATGTATGCATGTTTAAAATGAATGCACCCTTTTTTTGTCAGGCTTATTTATATTTTATTTCATTTCAGCTAGGATTTCTACCTCAACGTAGATCAAGATGGATGCTGAAAGCGGAGGTTCGGCCCTTTCTAGTCCCTCGGATGCCACAATGTCTAATGAAGCAAGTCCACAGGCATCCAAAATACAGGACATCAAAGGTGAGTTGGTTAAAATAAAAGACAACAACAGCTATTGTTATACCCTACAAAACTGTTTCCTAAATAAATCTATACTAAAAAGTCTTAAATTTCCAATATTTTACTGAATGGTCCAAGAAAAATTGATGTTGGATTGCTGATTGAGATATTGGACCTGTCGATGAGGTATTGGTCCTGTCAGTGAGATATTGGACCTGTCAATGAGATATTAGACCTGTCAATGAGATATTAGACCGGTCAATGAGATATTAGACCTGTCAATGAGATGTTGGACTTGTCAGTGAGATATTGGACTGCTTTGACATTTTTTTAATGTCACTCTGCAGCTTTATCTTAATTGCATTCATTGGTGTTGGACAGTTACAGAATTGACCTAGTTAAATCCACTGTGATAAACAAAATTTACATCAGTTATCATAAACATGGAATATTCAAAATAAAAGATATAATAAAACATTTATTGACTGTGACAAATTGCGTTTTGTCGACCCCTTAAACCAAACTGTTTGCCTAATGGCCTCAGACAAACATGTTGGCTCTTGGGTCAGACAGAATGTATGTTGCCCTAGGACCCAGTCAATATATGTTATTGTAAACAGATTGAAGTGATAAGACAAAATTGATGATTGTGTTTATTATTTATACATGTAATATAGATGAAGATGGTCCATGTTGGGCCAAATTAAATAAAATAGAATATAGAACTGATCTCTAATAAATTAGAGATAATAAGAATTTAATTTATAGGTTAGATTATTTATAATCAAATCTAAAAATCTGATGAAATGATGCAATCTGGTACCAGGAAATGAGCAAAAATGTAGTCATTAAAAAAAAGGAACAACTGACGTTTATTTATAATTCTTTTGATTTTTACTTTTAAATAAGTCTGCCACCCAAAAAGAGCAAAGCATACCTTCATTGAATGAGGAAAATATAGATGTTATCAACATTTTTCATTGTTTTGGGGAAATCAACTGACACAAAAATAAAAGTGATAAAAATGCATGTTTCCAAAGTTTGGAGATAAAATTGTCCTGATTAAAAAAAACCCTAACAAATAAAGGGATAAGTGCCATATGGTAATGCACTAGGAATATCAAATGAAGAAAAATGATTTGTAGCTTTAACTGATTTGATTGATCAGTGTTTGTGATTTTAACATTCATTAAAAAATAAAAGCTAGATGAATGATACATTATATGTCACATGATCTGTTACGAAGAAAAAGATGTTTATTAAATACAAAAAAGTAACACATTGCACTTAATAAAATACTTCCCTTTCCCTTGTTTCCTCTTCTTGGGCCTTCCATCAATGTGTCATTCTTAGTCTTATTATAGCACAGTATAACTGGAGGATTTCACTACAAGAAATTTTCTATGGTGAGACCAGATACATTGTAGTTAAACCATAAGGGAGTTCCAAATCGTCAAATGTGTTCACTGTTTTTTTGTTTTCTTTTGTAGAGGAGGTCATGTACAGTTTTGAATATGGAAATTTTAAGCCATCTCATTTTCCATCGTGTTCAGAACCTGAGGAAAACATGGACTTTGTTTCGCAGAGTTCCCTAAAAGTTGACCCCTCCCCTAAAAATTTCCTCGGTGACCAGGATCGTATGATTGGACCGTGTAGTAGCAGTACTGATGTTGTCATAGCAACAAGCCCAAACTCGAGTAGTATGGACTCGTGTCAGGCCAGCCCTGACTCTGCCATGCAGAGATCTCCCTCCTCCTCTGTGCCCCTCCTCCCGCCCTGTAGAGTCTGTGGGGAGAGGGCATCAGGGTTCCATTATGGGGTCAACACCTGTGAAGCCTGTAAAGTAAGTCTTCTTGCTTCATTTTGCTTTTTTGTGAATTTGGCTGAATGTTTCAGCACCAGTTATGTTACTTTTTAAGCTCACCTGAGCTGAAAGCTCAAGTGAGCTTTTCTGAGCACCCGTTGTCCATCGTCTGTCCGTCTGTCCTTCTGTCTGTAAACTTTTCACATTTTTGACTTCTCAAGAACCACGGGGCCAATTTTAACCAAAATTGGTACAAAGTATCCTTGGGTAAAGGGGAGTTTAAATTATAAAAATAAAGGGCCAAGATCCCTTCCAAGGGGAGATAATCAAGAAAAGACAAAAAAAGGTGAGGTCATTAAAAAATCTTCTTCTCAAGAACCACTGGGCCAGAAAAGCTGAAACTTATGTGGAAGCATCCTGGGGTAGTGTAGATTCTAAATTGTTCAAATCATGACCCCTGGGGTAGGGTGGGGCCACATAAGGGAATCCAAGTTTTACATTAAAATATATAGGAAAAGTCTTTGAAAATCTTCTTCTCAAGAACCACTGGGCCAGAAAAGCTGAAACTTAAGTGGAAGCATCCTGGGAAAGTGTAGACTCTAAATTATTTGAACCATGACCCTGGGGGTAGGGCGGGGTATTACAAGGGGGGAAATCAGGTGAAGAATAGCAGGGCCAAAGTTACTCAGGTGAGCGTTGTGGCCCATGGGCCTCTTATCATTAGCAAAGAATATATGTGGTTCTTTATCTATATCCTGGTTATTATAGATCTTCAACTTAATAGTATTGCCTGAGGTACAAATAAACATGCTTAAAAATTGACTGCACTGTATGCTAGCTGCTCCGAAACATGAGGTGAATAAGAATAGGAAGTAGAGATAACACATACATATAACATATGCAAGGTGAATTTGCTCTCTTTTGAATTTATAGTTAAATGAAGGTAATTTATGTTCAAGAAATATGAAATAAGATGTTCAAATGGAATAAAAATTCTTGATGTTTGGCAGACCTGCCAGTTAGGATGAAATAAACTGTACAGGTTTTCAACTCTACTGGTCAAGTATCATATGGCTTACAATTGTATACATGCATTTGTAAAAATAGACCAATGTGTGAAATTCTTTCAAAATACTACTCCTACAGTATTAGTTCGATTTCCATAAAACTAGGCCAAAAGAGATTGCATAAGATATTAATGTCTACAGATATGTTAGTTAATGCATCATTTCATAAAAAAAAAATCATCATTTATTGATTTATTAAAGTTCAGAAAATGTCATTAATGCACAGAAATGAGAAAATATAATGAAGGTTGATCCATGTATAACCTTGTAATTTGTGTTTTTTATTGACTTAATGGTAAGTATAGAATCCTCTGATGGGGATTTACAGTAAAACAAACGCTTGACTGGGTTTTTGGTAGATTCTGGGTTTGAGTGTGAGTCTGGCTAAGACAAGTACAATACAGTTCTGTGGTTTCTGTGGCTATTGACTATAAATTAATTTTCTTGTACTCCTAAGCATTTTGGAAGAATGTACCAAAAAAATTTCTATCACAATGAACATACAAGTCTGTACCCAATTGATGCTTTTTTTCATTAATAAACAACCAGGTTACACACACTTATATATTGAAATGTTTATATAGGGCTTTTGTAAGAAGGTTAAATGGAGGAATTGTTTTCAATGAAAAGTTTTGGCATTAATGAATTCTTTCTGGAGTTCTGTAGTAGCTTTTTGTCGGCTAATTTGTGTAACAATTGACCTACATATTGTGTTACCTACAAAGTCTCATAAAGAACTGTGAACTTTATCATGACATCTTACAGGACAAATATTGAAGGTCATCATGTATTAATGATCCCAAGTGTAGTTTTGATGTTTCCTTAGTCTTACGGTATGTCACTCGTGAAAATAGTTATAATTATCAAGAATTTTTTGAGAAATATATTTAAGATAAGTACTCATATAGCATGACTCAAAATCGTAAATAAAATTGTGAGTCAGTGTGCATCTTACCGAGTAACGGTACAATTAACTTGACCTTTTTGCACTTAAATTGTAGCTCTTAGGTTAATCACTTTGTAATATTTTATCAGATGTAATCATAGCAATAAATATAATCTTATTTTACATAAAATAGTTTGAATAATATTTACTGTTCAGTATTTTCCCTAACCAGCTTCCAGCCAAATTGACCCCTTCGATTGAAATAAAAGAAAAAATCCCTCATAAATCTTGTTTTTTTATGATTTTATGGGCAGTTTTTAAACTGAATATTGTGTAATTTGCATTGTTTAAATCAAATATGTTTAAAAAAAAATTAATTTTAATAAATAGTTTTGAACTTATAGAGGTTCTGACTGAACTTTTTATAAAAGCTGATGAATATGTGACATACCTTAAAAGTAAGTTGTAATTTGGTTAGTTGTCAGAATGTTAATTTTACAGTCACCTCGTTATTTGCTTGAGAATCTTTCAATGTCTGTCTTTATGAATGTAGAGAGTGGGAAATATCAATCTCATTGCAAAGACACCAAAAATAAACTACCAATTTGAGATGAATTGAACACTTTTAGTGGTGGATCCATGCAGAGCTTTTAGTAATTTTTGAGATGGGGTCAAGGGGGATAGAAATTTCATCACAGTGCTTTAGTAATCTAATAATACATGTCTATTTGGGGAATATATTTTCTCCCTCCCTTACACTTTTTTTTAGAAAGAGAGCAAAAATATTCAAGTTTCAAACAAGAAAACGGAAATCCTTTTTAAGTATCTTTGTTACTAGAATTTAATGACCTATAATTTTATTAACAGGGATTTTTTCGGAGAAGTTTAAGAAGACAGACTGAATATAAATGTGTGAAGAGTGACAAGAGCTGTGTGATAGCCCCAGGGAAGAGAAATGGCTGTCCATTATGTCGATATAATAAATGTCTATCTGTGGGAATGTCCAAGGAAGGTAAATCAGTACTTCATTCTAGAGTTATTTTTCTTTTGCATGAAGAAGAACACTGTATATAGGGGTATTTTCACCACTTGTTATTTTTCACCTTTTTCACACTTGCAAAACAATTTTGCCCCATTTTAAATTTCGTAGACATTTAAGGAATGTAGCTTATTTTAACCTATGTTATACGATATAACATAACTTGGGGCAGTTTAAGCTTTATAAACCGCGAAGCGGTTTATAAAAAAGCGTAAATTGCCCCAAGTTATGTTATATCGTATAACATAGCTTAAAATAAGCTACATTCCTTATAATTTAATTTCAATGTTGACAATAAGACAATTTTTCCTCCAAAAATGGCTTCAAGTTGAGCATATTTTAAAAGTAAGTCAAGCGGAGTAATACGTTTTTGATGTAACTCATTGTGACGTAGGCAACTTATGTTATACGATTTAAACGAAATCTTTTATCCAATCAAATGACGTTTAACAACTAAAATTAAATTATATAGCTGTGTTAAAGAGATATGATACTGTCTTCTTTGATTTCACCCTGTTTAAATTGGCCCGTTTGCAATAGGGATTGATGAAAGGGACAAAAATATTGCTTTATAAAGTATATTTTTTATTTAATTGCTAGAAATAAAAATCAATGGATCTTTGTCATTTTCTGACAAAAAAAGGAAATGAAAGGATGAATTTTTAAATCAAGTATATTCAATGATATATACCAGCAAAGGTTGTAGTACAGTTGAACTTTGGTATCTTGAATACTGATATCTTGAATACCATGGATATGTCGAAGTGATTTAGAAGTCCCAACCCCTTATTCTTGAAGTATTTTACCCTGTATATCTTGAATCTTTGGATATCTCGAAGATTTTTCTCGGTCCCATTGAGTTCGAGATAACGAGGATTAACTGTGTACAGTGTCATTGTCATGGTGTGTTTTAATCATTCACATGCTAATACCTGTTAAATAACCTATTAACAGCCATAAAGACTGGAAGATACACTCATCAAAAGAGGACACAGGATATTCGAGAAATCAAGCGATTACAGAATCAGGTAGAGATAAAACAGGAGGTGGCGATTCCCGTGGAGAAAACCCCGCCACCACCGGTGGTGAATGAGGAGTTTGAAAAACTTGCAGACTACATCCATGATGCTCAAAAGACCATGTACGGACCAGCTCTGGCCTTTTGGACCAATTCTAAGGCCATTTTAAAAGTGACCTCTGATTATGCGGTATGCACATGTACACAACACAAAATCTGTGTAACTGTACATGTAATTAAGATTATATAATATACACACATATCCAACATTTATAGGCAAAGCCATCATGTAGTCAAAATAAACACTTATATTTCCTTATGGTTATAGTATGCAAGACAGAAATGCAAAGAATAGAGCAATATGCATTATGTGTTTCTGTGTTAGCTATAGCATTATTTGAAAAAGATTTAGGCAGCTGTGAAAAAATAAGTTATATGTAGGCCACACTTTGATATGATTTTTCCTTTGATATCATGAGATTAAAAGTTAAGCTTTTTGTACTAAGAGAAAAAGTTGTGTGTGGAAAAGATACCTGCAAACATTTTGTGATTTATTTTATTAATAGGAGGCATTTAAATTGAAATCCGAGATGTTTGGAGGTATGAACAATCTATCTAAGGAGGAATACCTCAACTTCTATCAGCAAACAGGGATTGATGTGGACAACCGCATGTCACTGGTGTCCAATTTTGCCAACACCATGGAGAGAAACATCACCAAGTTTGTGGCCTTCACAAAAATGATCCCAGGATTTAATGCACTACCTCTAGAGGATCAAGCAAGTCTGGTCAAATGTAAGTCTATCAATAGGCTGGGGAATGACTCAAATGTAAGTCTATCAGTAGGCTGGGGAATGACTCAAATGTAAGTTTATCAGTAGGCTGGGGAATGACTCAAATGTAAGTCTATCACTAGGCTGGGGAATGTCTCAAATTAAGTCTATCACTAGACTGGGGAATGACTCAAATGTAAGTCTTTCACGAGGCTGGTGAATGATGCAAATGTAAGTCTATCACTAGGCTGGGGAATGACTCAAATTAAGTCTATCACTAGGCTGGGGAATGACTCAAATGTAAGTCTATCACTAGGCTGGGGAATGACTCAAATTAAGTCTATCACTAGGCTGGGGAATGACTCAAATGTAAGTCTATCACTAGGCTGGGGAATGGCTCAAATGTAAGTATCACTAGGCTGGGGAATGGCTCAAATGTAAGTATCACTAGGCTGGGGAATGACTCAAATGTAAGTCTATCACTAGGCTGGGGAATGACTCAAATTAAGTCTATCACTAGGCTGTGGAATGACTCAAATGTAAGTCTTTCACGAGGCTGTGGAATGACTCAAATTAAGTCTATCATTAGGCTGGGGAATGACTCAAATTAAGTCTATCACTAGGCTGGGGAATGATTCAAACCAAGTCTATCACTAGGCTGGGGAATGAATTATGAATCAGTCATTTAAGTCTATCAGTTGGCTTGGGGATGAATTATGAATCAGTCATGCTCAGTCTATGCGAAAGTCAAATGGACCGTCGGTTTTTACCTGTAAAATTTGGTTCGGGTCGGTAAAAAAATTCAGGATACAGGACCAATTGTCTGATGAAAAATTAAGGCCTAAAAATCTGAATTTACATGTACATATGGTCTTATTATCCACACATATCCTTTATTTGATCCATTTAGCAGTAATACATGTTTAATTTTAATCTTTAAGAATCATGTTATGATCGTTTATTTCTAACTCGTATTTCTTCTGTCATGGAATATAGATCCATAAATAGCTCATACGTAGATTCAGTTGAGCAAAATTATTTTCATTATTAAAAAAGATTAACCGCAATGAGGTACTTCAGGAAAGAAATAAATATATTATAAAGTGCATTTTAAGTTTTAAAAAATATCTTTGACAATGTGCATTTCGTTTGTTTGTGTCAAATAACCAGAAAAAGAGGAAATTGTATGGAATTGTATATTACCTTTTAAAAAGGAAAATTATTAATAGTAAGCTTGTTCATTTCAATAAAATAATATTTTTATAATCTCAAATCTGGATATATTTGAGGTTCAATTTAACAGTGAGAATTCCTCCCCCTCCTTTTTTCAATCTCTGTATCATAATGATGTATGATTAAATTAAAAGAAAAAAGGTTGGTCTGGTAAGTAAATGCTTGGTCTGGTAAAATATATATTTTTACCAGACATTATGTCCTGTAAAAATTTTAGACTTTCACATAGACTGCACGCTATCTGAAAATTTGACAGGAAAATTCTTTTTTCTGAATCACAAGCTTTACCATCATGCTGGTGATATTACTGTATATGCCTAAATAAGCACCAAGGGATAATCAAGTGAATTGCAAGGGATAATCAAGTGAATTGTTTTAATATGTACAGTAATCAAATTGTCAAATATAAATATGTTACTTCTATTTCAAGGTAGAGGGATATTTTTCAACATGACTATATGGAAAAAGACATTGTATATTGTTATTTCTTTCCAACAGCTTCGAGGTTTGAGTTTTGGATATTTGGCTTTTGGAAGTTCATTGATGTGGAGCGCAGTGTGTTAACAGGACCAGCTATGAGGTGTTACCATTCCAGTGAGCTGTGTAATGTCTGGGATAAAGACTTTGTGGCAGCCCTTTTTAATTTTGCCCAGACTCTACATGCTCTACAGATGACGGACATGGAGATTTCCTTAGTGCGCTGTATCTGTTTAACTTATACAGGTAAACATTTAGGAACGAGTTATGCATATTTAACATCAGTTATTTCCTTTAGTTGTATGACAAAATTTTGACAGAATTTGGTAAAAAATAAAGTTTTCCTTTTTGCATTTTTTCATCTTCAATCATCTTTTGTTTATTAGAAAGCTTGTTATTATCTTAAATGTCATCATCTGTTCATTCACTCTGAAAAAGTTTGCTTCAACTCAAGATTCAAATTTACACAATTTCATGATAGCTTGCATTTGCTGGGCAAAATTTGTCCGAAATAGCCTTTTAACTTGGCCCTTTTATAAAGATTTATGCATAATATCGATCTGAGAGACATCCCTCTTATTAAAGGTCAATGAAGCTTAAAAGATAGCTTGAAATAAATAGCATGACTATTAGATAGATATCATTTGTCTACTAGGTATTAAGTTTATGATCATCTTTATAATATATAGCTACAGAATATTTCTGTTTGTGTATGTAGCTCTGCTTCATACATTTTCAAGAAAACAAATTGCTTGTTGCTCTTCACATTATACTTGGTAAAGTAGGTTCCTTTTCCTGATTCTAAAACAAATTGTAAGAGATTTAGCATTTTTATAAGTCGATGCATTTATATACCTGTATTTTTTCACTCAGTAGATTTTATATCACATTTTCTTTTTAATTCTTTTAGCATTTATATGAGGTGCCTACTTTAAGAAGATTTATTGTTTTATAAAGTTCTAGACTTGAAATTAATTGCAAAAGACATGATAGGTTCAACTGTGTACTTATGTTATTTATCTCCTTCAAGAGCAGTATAGATATTACAGTATAATTTTCAGATACTCAGAATATGAAATTATTTTGTAGATCGATGTGAATTGAAAAGTCCAGAAAAGGTGGAAGAAATCCAGTTGAAAATGATCATGTGCCTTAAGTATGTGGTGGAAAAAAATCATGCAAATTCAGAACATTTCCTGTCTCGAATACTGGACAGGCTAGCGGCCGTCCGAAATCTGACAGACTGGAGCCAGAAGATTGCACAGGAAGTCAAACTTGATTGGCCAATTCTACAGAAACACCCCTTACTTCTGGAGATGATGTCTATGTGACCCATGATAGAACAGTCATACAGTGACCTCTAGGAATTCATAAGACACTGAAGGCTGTGTAAATAATGGAAGTTTGTGCTACTGTGTTCTTCTCTCTGTTCATTTGTTTTTCATCCATTTCAAATATCCTTAGCCTCATTTTCATTCCATTTATAAAAGAGTTATTACTTGATATTTAGTTTGGAAGTTTCCTTACGTAAACCGACAGTTCAACCCATAGTTGTGTATAAGTCAATGTGTAATGTGACATGTTGTTTACGTTTTAAGTTATTCTGAAGTTTATCACTACTTACAGGTCAACATTTAAAATTTGTTGTCATTTTCTCAGAATACTCTATCCCTTTATCATGTATAAAGATATTCTGTGAAGGATTCCCTTAGTATTGTACAGACAGGGTAACTGTTTCTCTATTGTTACATACATTGTGTACATAAATATATTATTGTTTCACCAGTTTTAGAAGTTGCAAACTGTGATAGCAGTTCTTATGGACCCTCTTTACACAAATGAAATTTTTTAATAAACTTTGAGAAAAACATACAAATTACTGAGTTGATGCATTTCATTTTCAACATAGTGTATTTCATTTTCTCTAGGAGAAACAAAGTATCAATGAACAGAAATAGTTTTTGTTTACTTATAAATTCATCTTAGTCTAACATACACCTGTATTAAGAATACTTGAATTGATTAACAGTCTGATTTCAGAATCAAAGGGTAGATCACCTTAACTGCTTTATATTACTGTAAAATTGGAACTCTTCAATGTGCAGTATACAGAGGGTCCTTAAGCATGATTTTAATCAACTTTGTTGTAGTTGTGATTGCTTTGAAAAGTGCATTAGCTTTAAATCATACTTGTTTGCAGAATATGTGTAAATTTTATTCTTAGATGCAGATTTTATTGGGCCTTATTAATAGATATACATGTATTCTCAAGGAATATTTCTGGGTTTTTTTTCCCTTACAGATTGACTGACCATGAAACTGGTTAGTTGAAATAGTGTATGTTCAAGAAATTTTGAATTACGTGTATCTATGAGTAACCTTTCACTTCAAAAACTGTGATTGGGGAAGTCATCTCAATTTAAGAGCATGCTGTTATATTAAGGGGTAGTTATTATCAGAGATATGGTATAATATATGTGCTTTTGTGCTATCAGAGATAAGATTTATGTGCTATTATGCTATAGATATTTTAAAGAGCTACCTGAATTATATGAAGCAACTGTATACATCTATTGTGTTCTTTGATGGGTGTGTGGTGGAAGTGAAATGCTGGACATTTTTTTCCAGTAGGATGTCAAAATTGTTTAATAGACCTCCCCTCCCCACCCCCTAACACCTCTTGCAAGCCCACTATTTTGCATTCAAGTTTCAGTTTGAATTTTAATTCCATTTTTATTCAAGTTATAATCAAGTTTTTACTGAGCTTTGTTTAAATATCGTATATAACCAATGATATTGGTCCTTGCCCAGTGAGAAGACAGATTTATATGGATATTCAATGTTCAGATGATATCGTAATTAAAAGAAGATACCACAAGGTGGTCAGAATTTGGACTAAAATAAAAGTACTGTATGATATACATGTATGTATAGAGCTCATACTAGTATTTGATGGTTAACAAGAAATTGTTACAATAGTAAGCCTGCTGTGATAATGTTATTAATGGATGATGAGAGAATTTTGTTGTCACTTTTCACTTAAATATCATCTTGTGTGTCATTGTGGATATGTATTTTATCTCCCCCCTCTCAGAACACAATGCAGAATAATACTGGGGTGTATCACATCTTGATACACAGAATACTTGTAGCTTATATAACTGGGCTACTGAGTACTGACCAACAATGTTAACAGTTCTCTTGATTATATAGATAAACATCTGATCATGATTTCATTATCGGTGAACATTTACAGATTTAATAGTTAAGTAAAACTGAATTCAGATTTTATCCATTGTAAAACTGTGGTCTGGTTATTAAAGAGTACAAAATATGCCGGTAGTGTTCATTCATTTTGAAATGTGTAGTGCTTATAATTATAAATACAAAATAATTTCAAGGGGATTCATTCAATGTTTGGTTCTATTGATCAGAGACCAAAATGGATTATGCCATGGTAAAGTGTTCTTTGTCTCTCTGAGTGTCAAAAATATTTGAGAATCCTTTCCTAAAGTTTCTGTATGATTTACATAATCATGATACATAATCCTATAGATTAGTTTTCAGTTTTATTGAACAGCGTTGCCTTAGTTACTAAAAATGGAATAATGATCTGTGAAAAGTATTTCTGCTACACTTTGGTCTGAGTTAAATAAAACTCAGTAGACATGTAGTTTACATCGAGATACTTAATTCTCTTTGTCAGTTTATAACAGCGTTGCCATGTTACTCAAAATAATCGGTGATTTTTTTTTTTCAAAATGTTACGCATCATACATTTTCATTTGATTTTAATTTAGCTAGGAAGAATGTCACCTAGTGTATATACATTGAAACAGTATTTGAAATCTAGGTGGAGCTGTTTCCCTTCCACTACCAGTAGAGCTACAGTTCTGTATGGTCTGTACCATGTAGAAGGATCGAAATACTATGAAAAAAAATACATGTAGTACATGGTGTTCATTTTGTTTATTATTCACACAGCATGTATTCAACGTGATTTAGAGGCGAGATCAAAAGAAAGGTGTTTGATGAATGATTAAGTTAAAAAAAATAGCCGGGGGGGGGGGGGGGGGGGAGGAGAGGGTAAATAAATGCACAAATTAGAGCATATTGTATATGATACTTTATGTAATTGGTATTTGAAATATTCTTTTTTAAGAATAAACAAAAGGAGTACAAGTTACATTTTAATTAATACTAGTATTTCATTATCAAATGTGAACCAACATTTGTCACATTTAGTTTTTAAGGAGGTTTTGATGACAACTCTTTGAGAGCTTTTGATCTCGTCCTAAATGTAACATTACAAATTGTTAATTGCGGCCAAACCAATCAGATTTTAGTATTTTACATGAACGTATAATAATATATATTGATATACACATTATTCTTATTGGCATGACATCCAAGGTTACATTATTTTAGGAATGACTCTAATTCTTGGCCAAATTATTCGAGTATAACCTGGTTTGGGTCAGTTTACGCTTTATAATCCGTGAAGCGGATTATAAAACAGCGTAAACTGACCCAAATCTGGTTATACTCGAATAATTTGGCCAAGGATTAGAGTCATTCCTTATAATTTAATTTTAAAATCATTAAATAACTATGGGTGTAAAATTTCGTTACTTTTTATTAGTTCAAATTTATGAGGCGCCGTTTTGGTATTTACTGCCAAAAAGTGATATCACCTATTCGAATAAGTGATATCACCTATTCGAATAGGTGATATCACTCATTCAAATTGAATAGGTGATATCACCTATTCGAATAGGTGATATCACTTATTCGAATAGGTGATATCACTTATTCGAATAGGTGATATCACTTATTCGAATAAGTGATATCACCTATTCGAAATGAATAGGTGATATCACCTATTCGAATAGGTGATATCACCTATTCGTGCTGAATAGGTGATATCACCTATTCGAATAAGTGATATCACCTATTCGAATAAGTGATATCACCTATTCAATTTGAATGAGTGATATCACCTATTCGAATAGGTGATATCACCTATTCGCATTTCTTACAACAACAAATAATGAATGCTCCCTTCCTCAAGATTATCTAGATTTTCATTGGAACCAAGCAAATTCGGGCTGCGTTAGGGTCTGTAAGTCTCGTCACGTGACTCGCGAGATTTTTCGATAATATTAACTTCCAGGTACCTCACACATGGAGATGTGTATTGGGTTATGCATGTTTATGGTTTACACAAAGCGTATAAGGAAAGTTTAAGCAGTTGTACAAAGCCGAAGGGTTCTCCGACTTACGATGGATAAATTGAGGGTCGTAAAAGCTTGGGTGCGAGCAAGTAGAAGGAGAATTACGATCGAAGTACAGGTAAACAGGTCAGAGAATGTCACCTGCTTCTTGGGTATTCTTGGGTGAAATAGAAGTCTTATATTATACATTTGTATCTGATTAGAATAGTTTTGTTATCATCATTCCAACTAATTTATTAACAGATTTTTCTTGAATTCGAGGATAATGATGTTATTACCAGCTGATTAAGGAGGAGTAGCAGGGTTCGAAATTCACTATATATACAACTCGCAAAACGCGAGTTAGAATTCCCAAATTGCGAGTTAAAACTTGGGTAACTCGCAAAAACTTGCGAGTTGAATTTTTTTTGCATTGAAACTGTAGCAAAATTATATAATATGACAGAACACAATGCCTTTGATTTAAATCAGTAATTTAAATAAAAGTCACACTGTAGTTGTATTTTGTGTATTGTACAGTAGTTACTTTTCCCTTAAGTTACATGTATTTAATTTATATAAATTTAACTTTATATGAAAATTGCGAGTAGTCTTATAAAATTGCGAGTTCACTTGCTTGGTACTCGCAATTATTTGCGAGTTGGAATTTTAGGGAGTTTCTAACCCTGGAGTAGTGTACAGTGTAAGTGTCAGATGGGTACGAACGTCATCTTGTGACAGCATCACCTTTGTTTGGGTAAATAATTTGTTCAGAATACGCTTCATTTATCAACAAAAATTTAGCTGTTGCATGTCAGTAGGTCTAGTTTTTTAAGTATTCAATGTTTGAAAGCACTTATCAGGTCCAGTACAATCTTTTGATTTAGCTATATATACAGTATAGCTTTATTAAGCTGTTCAGAAAAGCTTAATTTTGCTATTTTATAACACTTTTTCTTAAATGTATACTTTTCTCAGCATGCACAAAAAGTCGCACCTTGGTGCAGTGATGATACTCAACCTTGAACTCATCTGAAATTGATGCATTTAAAACTCACTCATTAAAATCTCCTTGCATACATGTAATAATTTTTAGGCCCAAATACTGTACAGCAGTCCTCAAAATACAGGAATTTGGGTGAAAATACTGTACATTGTTCATCAAAAAACTATACAAAAAACTGTACAAAATATTGACCAAAAATCAATGTAAGAGGTTCATTTTTTAAGCTCTTCTGAGCCAAAGGCCCAAAGAGCTAATGCTATGGCCATTTGTGCGGTGTGCATAAACTTTTTAGAATATGGGCCATAACTCAAGAACCCTTTGGCCAATTATTGTCAAATTTGTCACAGGGTATCCTTGGGCCAAGGGCTTCCGTTTATACTAAAACTAGGGTTGTGACCCTTAAACAAGGGGAGATAATTAGGAAAATAGAAACAAAAGAGACTTTTGTACTCAAAGTTCTAAAAGTTTTTGGGCTACATATGCAATTGATACAGTTACTTCTTCAATGAATTTATAAAGGAGGCCAATTATGGTCAACAAGATAATTGATTAATTCAGTACATTCAATGAGAAGCAATCATACTTATCCATGCCTCAATGCACACAAGGTAGTGGACAGTTACTCAAATAATAGAAATTTATCTTTTGCTGAAAAGTAATCAAAAGTTGCAAAGTTGGAGCTATCTTTGATTTTGCTTGTTGTTTCGATAGCCCATAGCACATATATGAATAGTCAAATACATGCAACTTTTTGTCTATTTCTTACCAAAATAATTTTTGTGAAAAACTGCATATAAATAGCTAAATCAAGCTATTTTGAATAGCTTAATAAAGCTAAATAGCTATTTCAAGCTATATAGCTAAATTAAGAGATTGTACTAGACCTGCTTATTTCCCAATCCCAACGATAAAACTTTCTTTATATATTCTGCAAATTCTCTCTGCATTTATCATTGAACAAAATTCATATTACTGCAATTATATGACCATATTCTTCAGTTTAGAGAGCATGTTATAGAGGATATTTTGGTTAAAGTTTTGGTCTGTTTCATGCAGTGTTTGAAATATTCTTTCATCTTACACAATTGTATACATTAAGATTTATTTTATAGCTAAAGTACAAGAGAACTGCAGCATCTAAGACTACATGTACATCAACTTTGAATAATCTACCCGGTATATCCTCAAAAAGGCAACTCAAATACAGGTATGAAATTGATGTCACAAAATAAGTTTTTGGACTTACATTTACTCTTATAATTCATATACATATAAAGCATATAAAAAATAAAAATAGAAAATTAAAGGTTCATCAGGTGACAGCTCAATCATGTATGGAATATTATTAGGCCAAATAAAAAAATATGTGTGGTTCCCATTACCTGACCGTCCCTATTTTAGATCCCCGACCCTAAACTTTTTTTCGGCAATATTCATATTTATTTTCCGGAATTTTCCGCGATTTCTGTCATCCACTTCGGTATTAGTTTTAGTTCCAGCAATGGCGGCCTCCATGCAAAAATCGTTTCAACACGTAGTGCAAGTGTTTGATGGTGTTAAATCTAAAGCAAGCTAGCATGGCGTGGCAGTATACCTTTTTTCCAGCGCCATGTTTTTTTGTTTGTTTTTTGGTTGCCAAATTAAATAAATATGCCCAAGAGTGGCGAGATTCAGTTAGTTGCTCTGTTTACAGCTGGTTTATAACAAGTGCATGCTGATTAGCCCCTTTATTATAAATGCACGCAAAGGTGTGAAGTCAGGATAGGAAATCACTTCTCGCTTGAAAGCACACAGACAGCTGGCCAGGTAACATTTTTTGGAGTTAGGGGGAAGATAACATGAGAAAACATTTATTTGATTGCATTGATTACGCAAGAATTAGCCCAATGTGTAAGATAGATTAACTTGTAAACTATTAAATATTTTATATCAGGATCATTTCTTTTAAACCGAAGGTAGAAAAAAAAAAAACAGTTCATGAGGAAAAGTGAAAAAGAAGACTGCTGATTTTACATGAATAAAGTCAACTTGCAAAACACCAATATATATGAGAACTGAGCTTGGAAGTATGAAGTCTTCAATGAGGCAAAAAGGTTTCATGAAAGGATTTAAAATTTTAATAATATTAAATATTTGTAATTCTGACAAATTTGAATGATTCTATGTCATCTTGCTTAGGTGATTTATTTTGTTTTAAACATTACTGTACAAAGTGTAGGTGTCACATTCTTTTCCTCTGACAGCTCTTAGCAGAACTCTCATGTCCGTTTTCTAGTTTATAGTTCAGAATTTATTATTAAGTAAAATAAGAACTGTTCTGGATAAAAGTAATTAATTAATATCATTTATAAACACTGATTTTAAAAAAAGGATGTTCACCTTGGACTTTATTTATTACAAAAAGAAAAGATTGTGTTTTCATTATTTTTGATTTAAAAATATTTGTTTCATATTCATAACTAGGGTGCCCCCTGCCAATGTTGACTAGTATATTTAACGCCACATCGAAATGCCACTTATTTTCTCCTTCACTCTGTTCATCCACAAATAAAACATTTCTTTTCTGAACCATAGTTGGAAAAGACTGAATTCAAAATAAACAAAACATTTATTAGTTATGAGTTATATACTCAGCTCTTCACAAAATATTTCTGTTTTTTCGCATTCTATAATGTACAATTTTAGATTTTATATACCTGTATAAAGACTTCCGCAGCAGATTCCGATAGAGAAATCATGATCTATATTTAAGATTTAATGTATAATGCTTAAGATATCCATTAATTTTACTTATAATATACAATTCTGAAATTAATATCATCCTTTAAAAACAAGGATAGCACATATCATCTTCGTAAACACTTAACATTCTAAAAAAAGAAAATATAATATCCAAATAACAGTTAAATAATTCAATTTGCTCATGCTGATTTTCTTCAAACATTGTATTTTCTAGATGAGTATGAACTCGAATGAATAGAATCAGCAAACAACTGTTAAATACCCAAGTCATTTTATTCACACATTAAAGCACATATCTAATCCATATGCTTAAGAGAAAACATATCTAACACTCTACACATAAAATAGTTCACTTATGCTAACGAAAAGAAATAGGTATTATTTAGAAAAATTTAGAAAATCATTTTGTACAAAAAAAAACAAAAAAAACCCTACCTACCCTTTTTTTTTTTGGAGGTGTAACCGGAACCACACATATTTTTTTGTTTGGCCTTAATGCTGAGTTTCCAAATGCAAAATTAAGGGTATTCGATATATTCCATACAAGTTGTCAATCATTTATTAGTGATTTATACAGAGGTTCATTTGCATATAAATGTTGATAACATTGTTTTACTGTCTTTATTAACTTGTAATACTAAATTTTATAAATTGACAAATTCATTCTTTTTAGAAAGTGCATATAATTTGGAAAAGAGACCATCAATCCACTGGGGGGTATCGCATGAAAGCAATGATTATAGAATATTGTAAGGCTGGAGGAGTTATAGTACAACAGGCAGGCAAGTAATGGTACTTTGTTCTGGAAATTTTTCGCCCCAGTTTTATTTTTCTCATTCTGCCCTCCTTACAAGTAGGTGAATTTAAAACAGGACAAATTCGAAGAAGGCAGCATATATCTTTTAAACACAAATGTGTCTGATCAAATTTGAAAAGGGCAAAATTGTTTTCAAGGGTGAAAGAGTGAATATTTTAAAAATTAGAATGGGGTAAAAATATCCAATAATACAGGTTATATATATTAACACAGTACATATGCATTTCTCTTTTCTTTATAATGAAAATAATTTGTTCTGTAAAAGGACAAATTTTGTTCTGATTTGTATCAAATAAATAAATATGTGCCAGATTTATTATTTTGCAGGCACCTAAGTTACCATCAGTTGTGTGTCAAGCTGTGCAAAAATTCTATGTCATGTTACAGAATCTTTCTTATATACAGGTATATGTCTGCGCATCTGGCAATCTTAGGACATCACTGGATGGTTTTGTTTAAAAAGATTACAGAGTTAACACGCACTTCCAGCATGAAGACCAGCCAGTTGCCTCACCTGTCCTGACATTGTTAAAGGTAAATGGTCCTTTCAGAAAAGGATCTGACAATGCAAAGGCTTGCTAATCAATTAAAGATTTCTATTTACTAATAGGTAATTAATTTGAATTTCTGTAGCTTAAAAATTTAATGATATGAATTAAAAAAAATATTTTAATCAAATTTATTTTTATTTCAGTACTTTGTGACAGTGAAAAGACATGGCTTTAAATTACTGTATCAGAGATCAATCCAGGTTATAAATCTGAGGAAAACAATAAAGCATCCACTTCGAGCTACTTATATCACTGCCTTAATAAGATGTCTGCATGTGTAACTAACAAAGGACAGTGACCAGTTGTATAGCTATGATATCAGAGGGCATCCTGAAAAACACTCATCACTAAGAATAGAAAACTTCAAATGACTTTTGTATCAATCCTTTGGCTTGGAATTTCAGTAGCCTTTAGCATCTTTCAAGCATTTCATGAAGTACATGTACCAATTTGCAGGCATAAAATGTTTGAAATAAAAAAAAATAATTTCTCTGCCAGTTAACAGTGTCATAAGCAGTTGATTGATATTACAGTTCCACTGGCATAGTATTTGTGGTTGAATGGTGCCATTTTTAAGAAAACTTTTCACAAAAACCTGGAAAACATCAGATGGAAAGGAGCATCTACAAGAAAAACAGTTAACACTTTCTTGAATATTAACAATGATATATCATGCCCATTTACATCCTTTATATAAACTAATTAACCTAATCATAGAGAATTATGTACAAATTTGTCCTTTTGTGTATTTATAGTGTATTAAATTGATTTTACTAATTTATAAATATTTATGTTTTTCACAGTCATTAACATTTACAAATAGAAGTACACATAACATAAAAATATTACATGTTTAGTAGGATAACGTGAAATTGTTATACCACAAAAACCATCGCTGACCTCGCCTCGGTCAGCAATGGTTTTTAAGGGGTAAGAATTTTACATCACCCAAAATAAACAGGTAATATTTTTCTTGTCATAAAATGCATTTTAAAGAAAACATCAAGGTGAAACGAATGTGCAAACATTCTGCACAGTTAACATTTTTTATTACTGTATATACTGTTACCCGTAGTCATGCATTTTCAACCATTGGGATGTAATGTTTGGCATACAGTATGGTAATAGTACTTGTTAACAAATGTTTTTTAAACCAATCAAATTTGACTATTTAACATGAAAGTGTATCATAACAAATTTATCTAGCATAATGGTGCTGTAAGTAACCATGGAATGTGAGCTTGTGTGAACTTGATCCTGAATTATTAAGTTTTGATATTGTAAAAAAGACCTGTGCAGCCTAAACTTTAACTTGTACCTGATTTAAATGGAGTTCCGTCATTAACAACTTGGAAGTTGGAAGTTGTCACACTCATCATGAGTATAATAACTGGGGGATCTGCTTCATTTGCAGATACATGGATAACACATTCACTCAAAGCACTGTCCCTTTTTCAGTACCTTGTGCAGCCCTGTAATATATAATGACAAATGGAGAAAATTGCCTATTTCAAGAAAAAAAGTCTGTCTCATAATTGTAGGAGTATTGGCAAGGGGGGGGGGGGGGGGTCATGAAACTTGGCGGTTAATCCAGTTTGTATGTGTAAATGAAAAATGCCTTCTTCTTTGTAGAATAAAAAAATGATTATTTTTTTAGTGTTTCTTACCATTTTTATTTCCGAATAGACAGGGTAGCTTATAGCCTACAGAATGAGCTGACCATTTTTATTTATTGTTGTAATTAAAAAAAAAAAGAATGTGTTTTCTACAAAGATCATATGTTATAGACGTGGTATTCAACTTTGTATTCCCATGGTCGATGCATTTGGGTACATCTATTTTTTTTATTTGCTTTCAATGACATCGCATTCAATATCCCAAACTCATGTATACCTGTCCAATACTCCAAATTATACCACTGTAAGCTAAGTCAATGCTTTAAATTTATGAAACCAATCTGTAGATAAGCGTACCTTTTGAATACAGACGATTTTAGCATAAAAACGATTTAATTTTCCCTTTTTGCTTAAGTATGTTGGCTAATCTTGGCCCCCTCGGAGTAGCTTGTGTTTACGTTATGTAATGAAAAAATAAAGCAATTAAACGCTATTTACCTGCATCTATCAATCCACTTTCTCCTCTTCTTTGCAACAATCGGGGATCAAAACAAACTACAAGTTTAATAATTCCACTGCGATGCTTACAACTTAAGTAATCCATTGTCTCCAAGAACGCTCAGGTACCCGGGAGTTATAAAACGAAAGTGAAAGTCAACGAGACTTACAGACCCTTTGAATTTTCCTATAGTATACATGATAGATAAGTGTAATAAATATAATTTGTGAGCAAAAACAAACAACAAATTCTACTGGGGTGCTTAAAACTAAATGCGAAGCTGTAATCCATTGTCTGCAAGAATGGTAAGTTATAAAACGAAAGTGAAAGTAAATGAGAATTAAAGCTATAGTCTTGGGAGCAGTTGTTATTTCATAAATAATTTGAATAGGTGATATCACCTATTCGAATAAGTGATATCACCTATTCAAAATGATTAAGTGATATCACCTATTCGAATAGGTGATATCACCTATTCGAATAGGTGATATCACCTATTTGATTTGAATAGGTGATATCACCTATTCGAATAAGTGATATCACCTATTCAAAAGGAATAAGTGATATCACCTATTCGAATAAGTGATATCACCTATTCGAATAAGTGATATCACCTATTCTAATAGGTGATATCACCAATTCAAATCGAATAGGTGATATCACCTATTCGAATAGGTGATATCACTTATTCGAATAGGTGATATCACCTATTCGAATAGGTGATATCACCTATTCAGAAGCTGTATATGCTACTTAGAATAAATGTCCTTGATATAATCCATAGAAGAAAATTTAACTGAAGTAGCCAAGGGGTTGAATATCGGGGTGGGGGATTACTATCCACTAGTACCTGTGATTTGGAGGGGGTTGGGTTCTGTCGTAGTTCTTTTGTGGGAAAGAAGTGCATGGAACTTTATAAAGAAATTTGCATCTGTTCAGTACATGGCATTAAGTTAGTAAAGGGGGACCTCCTTCTTTGTTCAAGGGAGCAAGTGAAAAAAAATGAGGTAAACATGAGTTATATTATGGACTGATCAATCAGCATATTTTTTTTTAAAGGGAAAATGCGAGGAACAATATTATGTTTGGCAAAAACCTATTTAGGAAATTGTGTACATTTGTATACCAAATTCTAGGTAGAAAATAAAGTTTCCATTTTGCGAAGAATGAGTTTCCTAATAATAAGCGCAGTAAACGACAAAATTGGGGACGTTTTTACTTGGGTATTTATTCAAGTATCAGTCTATTTCGAAAATAAAGTCTTACATAGAAATGTCTTGTTTTTGTTACAAACGAATTTTGCATATATATTGTATTTAAAAAAAAAATACTCTAGCACCTGTATTGATAAAGAAAGCTAATATGAAATTCACCTCTTTTAATTATAAATCTCTTCTAATTTTTAAATTATCGCTTGTGCTTAAAAACAAAAAATAGCATAGAAGTGAATTAGTGGTACAATTAAATTTTATTGTGACTGATAATTGCCGATAATTGTGATAATTTAAATTTAATAACAAAAGAAAAGTTTCCATTCCGTCTAGATACTTTTTAACCAATTCTGTGCCTGAATTTCCGAGCTTATGCTCAAGGCACACTTGCACAAATACAAATGATCTTCGTCAAATGTAACGCCATATAAAGGTCTGATCTATAATTAATGATCGAATGTGATAATTTGATATATTACAAGTAGTAGTTGTGTTTAAAGCTATATCTGGCGTATCTGAGCTAAAGAAATAGAAATACGAGATTGAGTGTAGATAATCTTATAATGTTATTTAAGTTCAAACAAAAATTTTCACCGATTTTGAACTTGAATAACCTCATGTTTCCATAGTTAAATTGACTTTACACTTTAAATGCTGAGTCGGTTAATAATTTGGTTATTGTTTTAAATTTCTAATATCTTTGAAACCTTAATGATTTAAAATGTGTAATTTATAGGAAAGCCCTATCTTTATATAAAGTAAAAAAACAAATAGAAAGATCTTTTTAATTTTAGTTAGTCTGAACTTCTAAAAAAAAAAAAAACAAACCCATATGTGACTTTCATGTGATAATTTCATCGATTTGTTATATGACAAGTAACAAATTTCCATAAATGGAAATAATAATTTAAGAAATGTCTTATATTGTTTACGTGATCATATATGTTTCAAAAGTTTCGCTACTATAGATATTCTTATTTAAGATTATTTTATCATGCAGATACAGCATTATTATATAGTTAATAAAAATAGAGCTGCTGTTTACGTCATGATGTCAGGGACAGTTGCACTTAAATGTTTTTATGTATTTGATCTGAATATATCATATATATATATATA